TTCCATGTGGGCTTTGTTGCTTCTGAGCTAGATGGCGGGATGTTTTCTTGATGTGCACTTATCCTTTATATAAAACTCACTCTTATACAATTGAGTGTCTGTGGATTTGTTACTCTAAAGTACCCAGACTAACACACTAGTCAACTACATAATTCCATTTTCAAAGTCACCAATTTAAAATTGGGGGAAATCGCTTCTCGGCCTTTGGCTAAGATCAAGTGTAAAATGGCGGTGTAGTCAGATGCCTCACAAATTCCTTCTTACAACAAAGACCTGAGAACACCAGTGGATGGGACCCAAGAGACACGTGGTTGGCCACTCGGGGGCCATGCACATCACAGGCAAGCTTACAGAACCCGACCGAGTGCCGGGGAAAGAGAGCACAGACCAGCAGACATCACACGAAGGAGCCTGAGTGCCCTGCCAGAGGGATCTGCAGAGCCTGGCCAAGGGGAAACAAAGCAGACAAAACCCCCACCAGGGCTCCCTCCCTCACAAGGAACGGGCAGCCCAGCAAGAGGGACTCTGTACCTACATCTACAGTAAGGCAGGAGTGCCTCCTAGCCGCTGGGAGGTAAATGCACACCTTCCTGCCTAGCTGGAGGCCTCTGGACATGCAATGTCCACTACCCACCCCAGAGCCTGGGGTCACTGACCAGCACCTGCCCCTTCACTCAGCCAATTGTGCCAGGAACCTGAACAACACTCACCACTTAAACCTCTCCTCCCAGCCTCCAGGGCCGTGTAGGATGGCGGGGGTGGTGGTGGTGGGGGTGTTCCTCCGTCTAGCCACCTACAGCAGGGGCTCATAGGATGGGGCATCCCCTCCTCATACATCTAACCGAATGAAGGGCCTATAATCTGGCAGCACCACGCCAGTTCCCTGTGCATGGAAGGTGCCCCTTCCTCAACTCACACCCATGCTGGAAAACCTGTCCTCCTGCAAAAAGAACAGCCTACAGCTCAAACCCCGGGGTGAAGAGGTCTGAGGTATCACATGTGGAGCAAATTACAAGTCTAGAAACTGATCTTTTACTACTAAGAAGAATCTTTTTAAGACTAGATCTTCTCATTATATTCATATTCTTGCTGCAATATTTTTAAAAATACGTTAAAAGGAGACCCTTATTACATAACCCAGAGCAAGAGGGAAGCCTTTCAGGAGGGAATCTCCTACTTAGAAACAAGAATCCCAGTGACTGAGCTCAACTCCTACCACCCTCCGAACAAACCCATCCATTCGCCAGGGCCTGGGTGCGAAGGACGAGGGAGGGTAGGAATGCCGCGGGCAGAAGGCGGACAGCTAGGCAACGAGAAAGCCGTCTTTGCTGCTGCACCAGCTCTCAGCTCATGAAAAGCTACTTTCTCTTCATGCCTCCAGAGCCGCAGCCGATCGCTGTGACAGCTGAGGTCACACTCGCCAGCACAGTAAGCCGGCATGGAGGGTCATTTCCCTGACTGCAGAAGCTGGCTTTGGGGGAGCGAGGGGAAAAGAGAGGCTGATACCAAGGGCTCAAGCAGAAAGAAAACGTTTTGAGAATGATGATGGCAACAAATGTACTTGACACAGTGGATGGACATATGGATTGTGATAACAGCTGTCAGAGCCCCCAATAAAAACGATTAAACAAACAACAAAGCTGCAATATTTAAATGTTTAATACTTAAAAACCCATATCCACATTCCTTTCGTCTTTATTCTATGCTTGCCCTGGTTAGTTACAACCATGAAAACACTGCCCATCTCACGCATACTCTGATCATGAGCCTTTTCACACGACAGAAACAGAACTGACCTTCAGCTTAGAGCTAAGGCAGATTCATACAAATAGATTTTTTGGGGGGGTGGGGACTCTGGGGCATGTGCATCTGTACAACAAGATCCTCTTTACAGCATAGATCTCTGTAAAGAACCCAGTTGTACAAAGAAGGCAGGCCAAAGTTCTGAACTGTCCCCAAGCCCAGCAAGCATAAAAACTCTAATGTACAAAAAACCTTAGTTCAAAGGTAGAGTAGATGTTGGGAAACTGACACAAAGTCAAAGTGTCCACAGTCATGGAAGAGCCACAGAGGCAAGCCCTCAAAGAGTCGAAGGAAATCACGCACTATCTGAAGCAGGGCTCCTGTCATCAAGTTTCAAAATGCACCAGCCTTCTCTTAACCAGATTTGCCGACCTGCGTGCACTTGCCGTGCAGTGACGACATACCAAGTAATTGGTCGTGGTGCTCTCTTCCCCGCGGCCCATGGACCGGTAGAAGCGGTGATCGGCCACCACCAACAGCTTGCAGGTGTTCTTCATGGGGTCAGGGCCGGCTCCTCTCCTCACCCGCTGAGCGGACTCTAGGAGGCATTTGGATGCAGGGTTAAGCCAAAATCCACCCTCACAGGGACTGTTTACAGTAACACTTTTAATCTAGTGTATTTTAAAAATATATATTATTTGAGCCCAATATTCTTCAAGGTAACCTGAACAACAACAAAACCAACTGTGTGTGTGTGTGTGTGTGTGTGTGAGAGAGAGAGAGAGAGAGAGAGAGAGAGAGAGAGAGAGAATACAAGGCACTAAAACTGAAGCATTCAAAACTGAGGAAAAGGCAGAAGGGCCCCTCGACGTCACTGACCAGTCACCTGCTCTGCAGAGTCCCTCTCCTGCAGAAGACAGCTCCAGGGAACACAGCAAGGGAACCATACACAAAGACGATGCTGCGTTCAAGGGAGCTTTCTCTTGTCAAATCATCGCATTCTTTAGGAATTTACTTATACATTAAAATGCTCGTGATCTTTCTAAAGTCTTCAAAAGTAAAGACAAAAGAACACAATGCACAATTGCTATGCATGTTTTTAAGTGACCCTAAATATTCTTATCCCAATATTTGTTCTTGAAATATATCTAACTCACTAAGATCACTACCAGAAACTTCAATATATATTTGTTCCTAAATATATTTCTTTTATTCTAATCAGTAAAAAGCTTTCTTGCTACCAACTATACCTACTCTTCATTTCCTATCAAATTAGCTGACATTTTGCATTTATGATACCAGCAAAAGACCCACTCATTATTTCACATATTAACGTATCTCTGGCAGTAATGAGCTATGTGTCAGCTTCACTGGACCAGGAGTCTCAAGTGTTTTGACAGCTGTGTAATAACGGGACCTGGCAGTTGTGCAATGATGTAATCATCCTCTATATTGTGAGCTGCCATGGCCATCTGTGTTTTCACATGAAGGTGATTTTCCCATCACCGACCCAGTCTTTGGACCCTGGTCATGTCACTGAGCGAGAAGTGGGTGGATTTCTCATCACATAAAAGAGGACTTTGTTCAACAGTGCTACTTTATCATTTGTAAAGACCTACATACAAAATCCTATTTTCCCTAGGGTCATTCAATTCTCCATTTCCCTAACCTTTTTAATTAAATTCAATCTTCACTGTTTTCATTTACTGTCTAATGTTTTCAATTCTTACATTCTAGGCAAAAGAATTAACATAAGAACTCCTGGAACAACACTCTGCCCTCAAGCCAAGATGACAGTGAGCTGGGATCGTGTTCCTCTAGTGAAATAACAGCTGTCTCCCCTGAAGATGTCTACAACATGCTGGCTCCTCGCTGGGAATTCCTCGCAGCCCTACCTTGAGGCGGTTCTCCAGAGAAGCGCCCTCTGGGCAGCAGTCCCTCGGTGTCCTCCTTGATGTACCCACACACTTTGGGGGACTGTAAACGTGAAACGTTCTTGATATTATCAGATTTGTAAACTAACATTCTTTTGTCTTTGGTATTGTCAATAAATCTCCAAAGTGGCTGAAACAGAAAACATGTATGACTCAGAAAGAAGAGTAGAAGAAAGTAGATGTTGAATTCTGACAACATCCTTTTGTTGATCTTAGATATTCATTTTATAGAAGGTAAACTTTAATTTTTATCAGATGGAGTCCTACACTGGTAAATACAAGGGGAATTTCATAAAGGTTGTGAAAAATGAAATTAAAACAATGGACTTTTCCCACAAACTCTGCAATGCCCCTTCATAGATACATGTATTATTTACTTTGGGTTACTTTTCTATATTAAAAAGATATATGCTCCTTTAACCAGCACCTCATCTATCGGTGGTGCTACTGTATGTATTAGCTTTTCTATTTCACAGCATGGATTCGTAAGAGTAGCAGACTTATCCATGCTTTGGGGTGCTGAAGTAGCATCACTAGTGTTAAGACTAATCAGTCTGGAGAGCCAGTTTAAGAAGCCCATATTTACGATTTTATTTCTCTAGAAGCACTCCTGGTACCAAAATGTGTTAGACGGGGTTCTCTAGAGAGACAAAACCAGATTGCTAATAATTTTATATATATATTTATATAGATAACACAAGAAATAAACAGTTATATTATAAAGCAGTTATACAGATAGATACAAAACACAAGAAATAAACAGTTATATTATAAAGCAGTTATACAGATAGATAGATACAAAACACAAGAAATAAACAGCTAAATTATAAAGCAGTACAAATGGCTCAGTACAATTCAAATGTGTTAGACACTTGTGAGACACTGGCAGTCCTTCAAGTCTTGAAGGCTTCCAGGTGGTCCTCTCTTAACATTCTCTCGCAGAGACATTGAAGGAAGAGTCTGTGCTTAGGGGTCCCATATCCAGAAACTCAGACCGGTCTAATATATTTCGTGCACCAGCATAGACCTTCGGTGATGGGTGATTGGGACACTTGCCTGGATTGTTCATGGCCATATTTGACTTTGGACCCTTTTGACTCAATACCAGCATACGGTTCTTACCTAGCTTCAGTTGAAATGCTTGTCACCCACAGTACCCATCAGTGTGGACATAGTGTAATTTTCAAAAATCACATCTTCTCTTTAGTTACTTTATACTGATTATTCCTTGTTTTGGGAGGCATAAGGGAACATTAGGAGATAATGAAGTGTTCATCAATTGTGTTTTAATCAAGGAAAATGATTTAAAAGGAAACTTTTCACAAATCTTATCAATGTATGGGAATGTTTGTTATCCTAGTGAGGTGGATATTTCTTGTTGAGGTGGTTGGGGCTGAAGGCTGTTTGCGTTGCATTGTTTTAGAGGGGCCAGGTGCCATTTTCTAGGGGGTCTAAGAGCACTGGCTTTCTCTAGGAGACTTGTAGGAATGCTTCTTTGAACTGCCTACAGCTAACTATTACTATGGCATTAACCTAC